GTCAAAAATCTATTTCTGGTAATAATTTTTCCTCAAAATTGTATAGCTGGTAATATTATTTTCAAAAATGTATTGCTGCTGGTAATAGTTTTTTTCTTCAAAAATTAAATTCTGGTAATAATTTTTTATAAAATATTTCTGGTATTAAAACCTATTTTTACACTTTTCAGTTTCGGGGTTAACTATTTGCCCATAGCTGGGACCCTAACAGGTGCTACCACTCCGGTTCAGGGTGGACCTGGGAACACCAGCAATTAAGAGGTAGTTGCACGTTCCTCAAAACCTCCTGATCAGAGGCCTTGTTGCTGGACGTAGTTTATCGTCATACACAGGACGCGGATGTAGTTTACCGTCTTACCCAGGACGTGGATGTAGTTTATCGTCGTACCCAGGACGGTCAATCATAAGAACATTTAACACCTACCTGAAGTGATAACCGAGAATGAATGAAAAAAAAGAACAAGCTATATATAAATCAAAACTTTAATAATATTTCTTTAACACGCAGTATATTGATGGATCTTAACTCAAAACAAAATTGTTGTAAGGACAGCGGGTCCTAGCTGTAAAGGTTTGAATTGGTGGAACTAAGGAATGTATCTCGTTTGCCATATTAATTGCATTAAAACGTGAGAGACAAGCAAAATTTTCTTTACGTGAGAAAGGGGTTGCAGAGTGGAAAATAATTCATCACCCATAAGGTCGCGTAATCGCTTTTGATCGCTGTCAAGGCTGGTCAGTGTGAACATTTCTTATACAAGTGTATTATTGATTTCCCTTGTATCATGTAGCACTTTCGGGATATTCAGTGAATTTCTATTTATTAGTTTTGATCTAATAAAAAAAACCCTAACAAACAATAGACTATTCCGTTTTGATCGCGTGGAAAGAGAAAAGACATAACAAAGATGATACTTGTTTCCAGTGAAAGAAAGAAGTGTTTAACGTCTCCTGCTAATACCTCATAAGTAATGGACTATTCCGTTTTGATGGCGTATGAAGACAAAAGACATAACAAAGATACCACTTGGCTTCAGTCAGAAAATGAAAAAAGAATGGAAGATAGAGGTGTTCTACGTCTGCTTCAGTGAGATGGAAAAATCGTCAATTTCAAATCTTTTCATTTGTACTGACTTCTTAAAATAATGACCAGCATTCATATGTACGATTGTTATTGCAATATTTTATTAAAATTGTTAAGCTCAAATATTTAACGATGAGATAGGGGACATTCTACGGATATTTTATTGTCGTAGAACCTGCTATAAGCTTATTCTATCATTAACTGAAGAATTAAGAGTAATCAGAAATTTCAACTAGGAAAACTGTGAAATTTTCACGGGTTAAAACTAGTTATTATTATTATTATTATTTCCTTTGATTTCTGGTGTGTACTCATTTCTTTCCCGGTCCCGCGCAGGGACCTAAGGTTAGAAATGGCAACATGACATTTTCCATTGAAAAAAAAAAAACAACAACAAAAAAACAAACAAACATATTTTACATAGATAAAGCCCTTCGTAAGGTGTGGGCTGTACTTGTGAGAACAATTTTTTGTATCTCCTTAAGGCATGGATTTCCAGGAATCCCTTCAATTAGTCTACTGGAATTTTTAGCAACCAATCCGAGGGCTCCAACGACAACGGGGATCGTTGATGCTCCCATATTATTATTATTATTATTATTATTATTATTATTATTATTATTATTTTTATTTCTTTGTTTCTTTTTTTCCGGTCCCGCCCAGAGACCTAAGGTTAGAAATGGCATCATGATATTTTCCACTGAGCAAAAAAAAAAAAAAAACAAAACAAAAAAAAAAACAACAACAACACATATTTAATATAGATAAATCCCTTCGTAAAGTGTGGGCTGTACTCGTGAGAACATTTTTTGTATTTCTTTAAGGTATGTACTACCAGGAATCCCTTTCAGTGAGTCTATTGGAACCTTTTCCAACCAATCCAAGGGCTCCAACTACAAACAGGGATTGTTGATGTTCTCATGTGCCACATTTTTGAGATTTCGATTTCAAGGTCCTTGTATTTTGATAGCTTTTTGTAGATCTTCAAAGATATATTGCAATTTGCAGGGACTGTCATGTCAATAAAGAGACAATTTTTTGTTAGCGGTCTCTAATAACAATGTTTGGGCGATTAGCTTTGTTTTGTTTGTGTGTATTGTGTAGTCCCATAAAATTGTTACAGGTCCTATTTCCGTAACCGGATCTGGAGTGTTCATACTAACGAAACCGGGTCTGGGTGGTGTTCAACATTATTATTTCTACAGTCTATTTTACGAGCTGTCGTCTGTGCATTCAAGAAATTTCAAGAGACTGCAAGTCAGCTAATCATGATTGCTGGTACAGTTGGTTGTATATGAGGCTGATATTCTCAGCATCATTTTTCTTAATTGCATAATGACATTGAAATGTGTAAATAGTTTAAACTTTTACTAAAATGTGTATGCGAAGATAAAATCTATGTATAACTAAAATGTGTAAACAGATTAAATGGAGAGCTTGAAAATCTCACGGAAGAAGCTTCAAAATATGAAATAGAATTCATTTTCAAATGTGGACTGTTCAGTGAATGTCTGAGAATGTGCATGTAAATTCCAGTAGTATAGTCCCATAACCTGTTACATTGATAAACCATTCCTGCGGATGTGGAAAGTACTCATGAGTTGGGTTAGGCGCCCGTACTGAAGAAGAATTTAAACAGAAAACTAAAATGGTAATGAGTATACTCAGATATGCAGGAAGGACTTTAAACGAGGAGAAATGTATATTCAAGTGCAAAAAATTAACGTTTTTGGGATATCAAATTTTTGAGGAGGGTACTTCACCAGACTCAAAGTTGATACAGAAAATATTGGATGTTTCGTCTCCAAATAATAAGAAAGAGTTGAAACCATTTCTTGCATTAGCTAACTTTTATAGAAAATTCTTATCAAAATATTCAGAAAGAATTGAGCCATTTGCTGAATTACTAGAAAAAAATAAGGTGTTTCAATGGACCAATATTCATCAAAAAGCCTTTATTAAATCGAAGTTAACATTATCCAAGAAACCGGTTGTCAAGATTTTTGACCCTAAAAAAGAAGTTACGTTAACAACAGATGTGAGTGGACAGTCTGTATCAACAATTTTGTCGCAGTGATGTATCTTTCCAGGACGTTAACTCCAGCCGAAAAGAACTATTCAAATATTAAAAAAAAGGTGGCATTGGCGATAGTAGCAAGAGAGCAAGAGAATTTTTGCTAGGAAAAAAGTTTTTGCTCAGGTCGGTTCATAAACCGCTAGAATTTACATTCCGTCCCAGAAAAGAATTGTCGAAGGTCACATCCTCAAGGATACTAAGATGGGCAATGAAGTTGATGGCCTTTGACTATGAAATAGAATATGTGAAAGGAAACACGATCCCACACGCAGATGCATAATCACGACTGCAGTTTGAGGACGGACAATACGAGAAAAATGAGAAAGTGGATGATGGAATTTTACATTGGGTGGAGACCGATATATTGCTCATTAATAGACTCCTGTTGAAGACTCTACAAGATACAGTATTGAATAGGATCGTAGAGAGAATAAGGAACAACAAATGCAGTAATTGTTCTAAAGTGGAAAGACCGTACAAAGAGATCAGACATAAATTGACAATAGAAAATGGCGTAATTTGCAATGGAGATCTGGTGGTACCAGCAGAAAATTGTAGAAGACAGGTAATCAAAAGTGTGCATAATGATGTGCATTACGGAACAGCTGCTAGACAAAAATGTGTAAAATTGGAAGCCTGGTGGTCTGGTCACGCTCATGACATGGAGACGTACGTAAATAAATGTCTTAAATGTGCGGAGATAAAAAATTTTTCGACAAAACAAGACACATTCATGTCCAAAAGAAACTGAACCCTGGTCCACAGTTCACATGGACCATGCACATGTGAATGGTATAGGATTGTGTCTGATATTGGTGGATGCGTTTTTAGCATGGCCCGAAGTTTTTAGGGTTCAGGATAGAAATCAGAACAACAAATTTTACGAATAGTCTTTGCCAGGAATGGCGTACCAAGGACATTGGTAACAGATAATGCTCCAGAATTTTGCGAGGAAAACTTGTGTTCATGGTTAAGAAACATTGGATTCTTAGCGTATAAAACCCCCTCCTTATCACCCGCAATCAAATGGAATAGCGGAGCGAATGGTGCAAACCATAAAAATGGGATTAAAAGCGTTCTCCCCACAGCATGAAAGAATCGAAAATTTTCTACCAAGATTGTTATTAAGTTACCGGACAATACCTCATGCCGGAAGATTACAAAGTCCATCCGCGTTAATGGGAAGAAAGATTAGAGCACCATTAACAATGTCATACTTAATGAATGAGAAGGTATGGTACAAGAGAAACAGAGAAGAGGGGTCAGAAAAAGTAAGATTTATAATGCAGAAGGGACAGAAAACAACGTTGGTTTCCAAGAATGGTAGAGGTCTATTGGCGCATGCTGACCAACTAAGATTGTGCCAAAACCATGAAGACTCAAAGACTGAAGATACTGAGGAGTTAGATGAAGATAGAGAAGAACAAGATAATAGATCAGAGGAGACAATGAGTGCTCAAGGGTTTTCTGAGGTACCAGAGAACAAAACAATGGATACTGAAGAAGAAAGAAGTAGGTCGAGATCTAGAAGGAGAAATCATCTTGAAACCAGTACAAAGAAAACAGGGATATAGGAGAAGCAATAGGTCAACTCAGGGAGTTAAGCATAAAATGTTCTGGGAGGTGTAGTGGGATTGGTTGGGCTAATACTAATTAGCATAACCATACCACTATAGTGGCAGAACTAGAGATAGACTGCGAGAGAGTGTCTCTTGTGACGACTACTACTGTTGTGTGGGTATCTACTTCATAACAGAAAGGAAGCAGGTAGTGAAGATTATGAGGATATGGAGGATAGATAACTATTTTAATAAATAAAGAAAATAGATGAATAGGTACATGTCGCCATACCGCGTTGCAAATGCCAGACAGATGAAGACGGAATGTCGTACCAAATTACAATATTGTTATAGCACCATTGACAAATATGAGAAGAACAAGAGGAAGTTGAATAGAAGGTTGACGGGTCAGCTGCACCGACTCCGACGGTGACAATTGAAAACATGGCTACAATTTTTTTTTTATGTGTGCAAGAGTATCACTGTTGACGTAGTTCGTGTTTTAATGACAGTCTTGTGTACTTGGGGGTCAAAGCCAAAGGGCAAGAGAGTAGAGAACAAGAATGTCTTTTGTCCTCAAGCAGTAAGTAAATATCAGGGGTGATCTATAGTCAAACTCTCAACTCTGAAGCAATCTGGGGGAGAGAGAGAGAGAGAGAGAGAGAGAGAGAGAGAGAGAGAGAGATGTTGAAACTGGAAACAAAATAAATCAAGCTATCGCAAATTGTTCATATCTATCTATCTATCTATCTATCTATCTATCTATCTATCTATTACAATCTGTTCCTATTTCAATATGTTCACATCTATCTATCTATCTATCTATCTATCTATCTATCTATCTATCTATCTATCTATCTCAATCAGTTGCTGTCTGTGCTCCTATCTATCTATCTATCTATCTATCTATCTATCTATCTCAAACTGTTCATATCTGTATCTGTCTATATTTCTGAGATGAGGTATTATGTACACTATTTACATTATTCGAACTATTGTCCTCATCTTTTCGCTAAATTTATTACAACGTTTCAAAAAAAGCCTTTCTTCAGGTGGTTAGAACGTCGAACTGAACCCTTTATTTCGCTCACTGGGGTAGACTGTTCTAGTTCCACGTGCCTTGTCTAATAGATGTCAGTTATCAGTTATCTCCTGTTAATTTCCCTCTGAAAGTTCTCCACTGCCTTAAGGCAGGGGAATTAACAGGAGATAACTGATAACTGACATCCATTAGACAAGGCACGTGGAACTAGAACAGTCTACACCAGTGAGCGAAATATAGGGTTCAGTTTGACATTCCAACCACCTGAAGAAGGCCGGAGCGTACAATGACCGAAATGTTGTGATAAATATGGCGACAAAGATGAGGACAATAGTTCGAAATATGTGCTGTTCATATCTATCTATTTATCTATCTATTTATCTATCTATCTATTTATCTCTCAATCTGTTGTTGCCTGTGTTCCTTCCTTCCTATCTATCTATCTATCTATCTATCTATCTATCTATCTATCTATCTATCTATCTCAAACTGTTCATATCTATCTACCTATGTTAGTATCTATCTATTTTAGTCAGTTCATATCTATCGCGTCATGGGGCACCTCGAGGTGGTGTAATGGTTAGCAAGCTTGTTTCGCTAGAACAATTTCGAATGAGTAGTGAGTTCGATCCTCACTGGGTGCCCCTTACTTTCGGCCTTGTGCCACATCCAAGCTACGCTTGGAAAATCGCTATCTATCTCGTCATGTGAAGAAACCTTTTTGAAACTTCTGCGCCATTGATGGAAATGGGTGGATAGTTTACGTAGAGAGTCCACATTCACCCCCCCTCTCCTATATATCAGACAATTAGGAAAACTTCTTTTTTCACTGGTTTCGCCGAAGTTTCGACATCATCATAAAGAGAATTGAAAAAAAAAAAATGGAGAGAAAAGACAGGTTGATGCCTTTTCCGAGTACATTAGTGCAAAAGTGAACGCAAGAATATGCCGAGATTTGACAAGTATTATATAAACCGCACATCTTATTAAACTGAATTGATACTCATATATTTTTATTTTTGTACGATTTTTTAGATTTTAATTCAAGTTTTATTTTTTCCTCGCTTTTTTAGGCACTCTTACTTTTCTTAAATCAATATATCGTCATTTTTTTTTTAGTTTTGAACAAATCAAGTCAAGCTCTGATTACATTTTAAGTATGAAATATAGACACTCTTTCCTTTGCACTTGGGTATGGACCTAAGTACAAAGCGATTTTGATTGGTGATTGCGAACGAAGACGCGAGTGTACCTTCCAATAATAATGGGTGTTAAACAAGATGGCGTCTGAATAATCCGAATGATAATCAGAAAGGGAGACAAGCAGCTGGCGTCAGCAAAATAAGGAACGAATGTATGAGAGAGAGAAGTATAGAGAGAAAGTGAGTGAGATAGAGAGAGAGAGAGAGAGAGAGAGAGAGAGAGAGAGAGAGAGAGGGGGGGCAGTGAAGAGAAATTGATCAGTTGATTGATTGACGAGATGATAAGGTGCATACGCAGGAAAAGGAAACATTGGCAAGCGTTTCGTGGATTTCATATTGTACGCGATGCATACACGGAAACAGCTTCCACACACATCAAAAATTGGGGTTGGTTCACAGTATGTATGACAGAATCAGATTTATCACAATCTATCTATCTATCTATCTATCTATCTATCTATCTATCTATCTATCTATCTATCTATCTATGTCTGCCCATATCTATCTATCTATCTATCTATCTATCTATCTATCTATCTATCTATCTATGTCTGATCATATCTATCTCAATCTGTTGCTTAAATTCATCTATCTATCTATCTATCTATCTATCTATCTATCTATCTATGTCTGCCCATATCTATCTATCTATCTATCTATGTATGTATGATCATATCTATCTCAATCTGTTGCTATCTATCTATCTCGATCTGTTGCTATCTATCTATCTCGATCTGTTGCTTGCTATCTATCTATCTATCTATCTATCTATCTATCTCAAACTATTCATATCTATCTATCTATCTATCTATGAGTTGAAATACGGAGTAAATCCGATAGAATGATTAAATAGAGAATGAAATAAGAAAGTCTTTTTAATTTTGACATATTTCGATATTTATTTAGCTTTATCATAAATTTTAGATGCACAGTAATGTGAAATTATGTTTCAGTTTCTAAATTCTTTAATTGGTTGTGAGGACGTCCCGTGTATACCTCAATGCATCTGTGTGTGTGTTTAATTCTTGAACTGCCCGCATAGTTCAAGTGCGTATTAGAAAAGCTTGGAAGTATGTCCCTTTTGAGGTAGAAGCCTGAGAAAAGGTTGAGGTTGAGCTGAAAGCTTGGAGGTATGTTGCAGTTGAGGTAGAAGCTTGGAATTAGTCCGAGATTGACCCATAAGCTTGGAATCAGGTCGAGGTTGAGCACGAATTTGGAAATTAGGTAATGTTTGAACCTTAAGGATCGATTACATTACAGACTCTTATCTGGATTTTGTCAAGAATTTCGAGATGTATATAATGAGCACCAAACTAGATATGGCAGTAATATTCTATGCACGGACGAATTGTAGATTTATAAATATGCAAGATTCTTAAAATAAAGATATGACTTTGCAAAAAAAAAAAGTGATTCTGTAAAGAAAAATGACTCAAAATAAAAAGAAGGATGTTATATTTCAAATCATTTCACCCCAAGCAAGACAACAGTGTCACTGCGACGCAATGGGGTTACTGAGTGTGGAAAAAATATGAGAAAAAGAAAAACATTATTAAGGCGAGAGAACAATAATAGAACAGGAATTAAGAAAACAGAAAATAAGGATTGCTATTGCATTTAATTTTTTGAAGAGCAAAGTTGACTGGAAAGCAAGAAGTCGGAACAGAGTTCCACGGGTAAGAAACACGAGAGAAGAAACTGTTTTCATAGAAATTACGGTTACATCTAGTCATTTCAAGTATAAAATGAGACCTTACCGCCAAACTAGTACTGAGTTTAAATTCATAAAGTCTAATTGTGTCCTAGGAGTAAAGTTCTGAACTGGTGGAACTAAACCAATGTGATGGCTGTATGTTAGCAGAATTACTTTATAGGCACCATATTGTTCCCTAAATATGCCGGAGACGGTCAAAAGTATTTAAACAAAACAACAACACTTGAACTTCAAACAGCTTATCTATAACTTTGATCAAAATAAACAACACTTTAACAGGTAGTCCATATATATATATATATATATATATATATAAATATATTGTTTATACGTTCTTTTTATAGATACAAATATTTAAGTAAATGCTCTGCTTATAATAAACAGTATTAACAACATTTACCGGTACCAGTCTGAATGTCCGAGAAATTCTCATAGAAAATATTCGTCCTCCGACAGGAATCGAACCTGTATCCTATACGGAACCGTAATATTTTACCGATTGAGTCACAGAGGATCGTTTCGGTTAGCAAGGTCGATTTTACTGTTTTTTTTTATAAACATGAAAAATGTCTTAAAATAATTGTCGGACTTTGTCCATTTCATAATGTGTGACGTCATTTGTTTACATTTGAATACGCCATGAGCAGACATGAATGTACGTGAGAGAATTATGGAAGATTGAAATTTAAATACAGTAAATTCGACCTTGCTAAACCTGCGAACGCTCCTTCGTGGCCAAATCGGTTAAAGGCACGTCAAGCTAAATGACGGTTCCGTAGAGGATACAGGTTCGAATCCTGTCGGAGGACGAATATTTTCTGTGAAAATTTCTCGGACATTCAGGCCGGTAAATGTTGTTAATACTGTTTATTATAAACAGAGCATTTACTTAAATATTTGTATCTATAAAAAAGAATATATAAAAATGTTTTAAAATAATTGTCGGACTTTGTTCATAATATATATATATTGCTTTTTTAAAGGATATTTTATCTGATGTTATTTCTTATCACTATGATCATTATTTTTACTAGGTACACGTGTTTGGGTTGTTTTTATTTTATTATATTGATGAATGCAGTTTTATACAAAAAAATGTATCCAAAGCCAACTGATGAGATTTCAAATCCAATTTTACATTTTAAACGTACAGTGAAAACTATTTAATGAAATTGATGAGGACTAAGGCAGAATTTAAATTGCAATACGACTGAAAACAATAACGACCCGAATCTTCTTTAGAAGAAACATATGGATTCGAGAAAAAAATTTTCCAAACAGGAAAAAAAGTTAAAATGGAAACTCAAAAATGGGATACATTAAGAGATGCTTTAGTAACATCAATTAACTTTTCATCCCAAAGGAGAATTTGATAGATGAAATTTTCGCCATGATGAAAAGAAGACGAAAAACAATGTCAAGACACGGAACAGAATATTTCACACTACACAAAGAAATAAGGAATGAATTCAGGCAAAAACTAAAGAGGAATTCCATTATCAACGAAAAATGTGTTTTGAATAAAAAAATGAGTATCACAAATAAAGCAGAATCATTGTTTAAGTAAATAGAAGAACTAACAGGACAAAAAGACATTTATCTTAACAGGATTTTTAAAAAATTGTTTTTGGGACATTGATATTAGAAAAAAAAAATAACTTTTTGATGGGACGAATATATAGGAGGACTCTTCCACGACGAAAGAGAACAACCGGCAAAATAAATAGAAATATCAACTGACCGGAAATATTAAAATAACATATTGAAGTGGAATCTGCACTTGTCAAATAGGACAGAAAGAAAAGCAGCATTTTCAGACATAATCGTTGTACTAGAGATGCTGATAGCCTTTTTTACTTCGTCATAGACAACCGTTAATTTCAATAAAAATGAAATCTAAAGCAGTGGTGATATAAACCAATTTATTTTTTAAGATCTATTTTCATAGAACTGCCTAAAAAGCTTTTTAAAAAATGAAACCTGAATATTGAACATTAGCCTAATTTCCATATATAAATGAAAATCCCCAATCCGAATTTTGATGACTAGAGCGTAGCAGAATCAGACCGGAAGTAAATAGAAAATAAAAGTTTCCCAAAGAAACTGGTATTTCTAATCACGCGATTTGTTTTTTTTCGGAATATTATTTTCAATTTTTAATTTTTGCAGAAGGACATGTAAGCTGTTTATGTTTTATAGATTTTGCACAGGCGTTCTGGGAAAGTACGCTACAAAGATCTGTTTTTTTAACTGTGTTTTTGCAACTTTGACATATTTGAAAAAAGATATTATTTTAATCATTAAATTTAGGGTCACTGGCAGTAAACCGCCTGCATTGAGATAGAGAAATGAATTTAGCAGATATAAAAATATAAAAATTTAAATAAGATGAAGATATGTCTTCTTTTTCATTTATTCAACCTATACAACGAGGCATAAATACTTAAAAATTAGAAGTCTTAAAAAATTCATTATTAAAAATATTAAACTTAACGAAATAAGATATACAAATGACACAAACAGTTGATAACAGACAAACTATAGGCTTTTCTTGATAGTCCCCAAATTCACATTTGTAAAGTATAATAGATTAAAATGTATTTTGGATTTGCAGTTCGAGATTCATTTCCATCTTAAAAATTGGTTCAAACTACTGCCTCCGGGAGAGGGATCTCAAAAAATGCTAAAATTCGAAGGGCAGAGTCTTCAGCACGATTCCAAAAAAAGCTACCTATAAAAATTAAATTTAACCATCATCATGTTTGATGCTTCCCTCCGTGACAGCGTCTCACTGAAATGCCATCTTGTGAAAAATGTTTTCGACTGACGTGATTTATGGAAACAACTATATAGAATCTATAGCTGTTTACTGCAATGAAAAAAAAGTTCTGTGTTTGTATATATAAAAGTTTTCTTGCCAGAGTCCATCTTGCACATTTACTAATCTACCATTCTTCCGTGCATTGAATACTGTTGCCATATCTGGCCTGGTGCCCCTGCTATTCATCTCGTGGTTCTTATAAAAATAAAGAAGGATCTGCAATGTAATGGATCCTTTCTTGGCATTTCAACTTCAGTCATTTTCTCACAGACGTTGTGTGTCTTCCCTCTGTCTTTTCTACAAATATCTTCATAACAACTGCTCTGATGAGCTTTTTTATAGTGGTGACCCTCTTGCATGAATTTAAAATGATACTAGATTGGCATTGAAGGTCCCACCCTTTTACTGCTGAAATAGTTAAATGTAAATTTTGCATTTTTATATCCAACAGTTTCTTTTCGCACTTCTCGACTGTGGAGCTCTTTTTTCTTCTTACTTGAAATCTGATAACTACGATCTTCAAAAAATTAAATGCAGCGTCAACCACCAAAAATTGTCTTGAACCCTTGTCTTTTATCCTTTCTTTGGTATAAATGATATGCCCAGTTTTTCCTTATTTTCTATCTCCATGTAACTAATATACTAGTCTTTCCTGCCTTGATTGAATGAATTGATTAAAAAATCTTTTAAGAAGGAAAAAAAATAAAAAAAGATTAAACATTAACTGCGACAAGGATTCTAAAATCGGAGAAAAAAAAAATCAAACAAGTGCAAAAAAATTAAATATTTGGGAATTGTTTTTTAATGAAGAAAGATAGAATTTTACAAATGGTCATTTATTAATAAATTTTTTCTGGATAATTTGAAAGATGCCTTTCAAAAAAAAACTAAACTAAAAAAATAAAAAGTGTTGCAAATTTAAAACTTTTTTTGTGGAACTCCTCAAAGATGAAGAAGAGACCAAGCAAAAAGAGATGTGGTTCTACAATTTTTGCTAGGGATACAATGGATCGATTTTGAGAAAGTTCAAACTTTAAGAAAATGGAAACAAAAAAATTGATTATATTTTTAAAGTTCAGAAAGAGAAAACATTTGACATTTCTAAAGCGAAAAAATGAAAAGAACTTGGAGAATATGATACTCACAGGACAGATTGAAGGCAAGAGAGACAGAGGAAAACAACACATGGCATACTTAGTGAGTTTGAGTAAATCGATGGCGGAACAGGGTTTAGGATAAATGACAAAATTTATTAAGAGCTACAAAAGACAGGAAGTTGTGGAGAGCCATGATCGCCTACGTCCTGAGGGGACACGGCACATTAAGAAGAAACAGTGAAATTAAAAAATAAATAACGTCTATAGTAGTAAGACATACTGTTTGATAAAAAATCCTTTCGTAAATTACTGTTGTTTACATGTCGAGGACGAAGCTGAATCTGTCAGAAATAGATTCTTAGAAGTCCCAACGAAAAAAGTTATTGGAATAAATTCATAAAATTCATTCCCCATGTGGCTGAACTGACTGAAAAATAATATAAATTATCTTTTGTGTTTTTTTCCCGAAAAAAAAAAAAAAAACTACTTGACAAAAGAAATTTTTAAATAGAGGCTAGTTTTTAAATAGATTTAACATTATTTATTTATATCGGTTTATTTTTTTAAAAAATATAATTTCATTTATATGTGAAATTATAAATTTCATAATATATACAGGATTATATATATATATATATAAAAAAGAAGAGGTTAATTTTCTAGTTCCAACGAGAAAAGTTTTATTTAAAATAAGAGAGAAAAAAAGTTTGAAGCAAGTTTTGTTCTTTATTTTATTTTTTTTATTATGCTTTATTTTCCATAATTTTGTTACACGATTTTTGGTTTCATTCGACCGTCACCAATTGAAAAGGGTCAGTATTTGGTTTTATTTATATTGTAAAAATTGAATTAATTTTTTTTCTTTTGTTTTTCGATGTTAAATATTTGAGGCATTCTTAAATTTCTGTGTTAGTAACCCAAATGTCTTTCTTGAACTGGCAAGAATGAAGAAAAGTCTTTAAATAAGGGTTATAAAACAATTAAATTGGTCCAACAAATGAAATTTTTATCGGCATTTTATTTTAATCAAAGTTCGTGTGTTCTTACATCTATTTCCATTTTCGTGTTTTTTTCAGCATGCATGTAATATATCTTCTTTATACATACATTTTGTCTCATTAAGAAGGAATCAGTCTAATTTCTGAAGACATTCATACACACACACACACACACACACACACACACACAAGCATTTTTCACACACACAGAAGTGTCAAAGTCTCACCATGAAAATAGCATATCTACGGACGATAAACTGGGTAGTAGTCCCCATTCACATAAATACAGTAGTAAATACTGTATGTTGGTTGTTGGTCTGTGTTGGAGATTCGTCTCCAGCTGTGCTGGTCAAACTCTCTGCTCCTCTGCGGGCAGAGAGGATCCCCAGACGAGGCTATGTCGAAGGGCAGAGTCTCGTCTCGGGAAACAGCTACCCGACCCCGTTTTATACGGGTCTACGGGAAATTTTTGCCGAGCCTACGGGCTCGGATACCCCACATTAAATTCGGCCTTGTGCCACATCTGACCGCGTGGGGCGGTTGGTAGATACCCTGCAGTCGGAGATTTATTGTGGAATTCACTTGACTCACTTCTAGCAGCTGACTACTACTTCTACGCGCCGCAGGCGAATCTTATATGTGTTGTTCTTGTCCTAAGTAATATCGTTCATTACCAGCCTTCGTTTGATTATTCTATTCAGTAACCTTCCTAGGTTACAACAAAATCGAATTTAAATATTCAAAATGATTTGTCAGGAATTTATTTATATTTTTTGATGTTATCATTTTGGAAAAAAGATATACGACAAAGTAGAAAAAGTTTTTAATTTTTTTCTTTAAACCTTTCTTTTTTCATCGGATTCTAATTTATGTTTAGATTGAATCAGTTATAAATTTTACGAGAGAGAGAGATGAAGAAAGAGAGAGAGATTTGGAAGAGAGATAAAAATTTTTTTAATTTTTTTTTTTTTCAATTTTTTATTTTTGATATGTTTCGGCTGTATAATATAATAATTTCATTTAGATTCCTTTTTTTTGTTTTTTTTCAACTATTTTTGTTAATGATATCCCAACTATGAATCATAGAAGATCTGCCTAGAATGGTTAAACGTTGTAAAAAAATGGATTTAACAAATTTACTAATGGATGAAAACTTTATTATTAAAGAACTTTTAACGAAACATTTTTCTCATCATAATTGTTTTTTTCCATTTGATCAGAAAGCATTTTATTTTATTAAAATGTGGTATGTCTCTTTTACAGATGAAGATTTTGAACTATTGCATTCTTGAATGTGTTGTTTTGCAAAATATCCATTTTGTGTTCATATAAAAATTTTATTTAAATTTCTTGAAACAAAAAAATTTTCTTTCTCTTTCTTTTATATATATATATATATATATATATATATATATATATAAACAACTGTTTTCCTTTTCGTTTGATTAACATTTAAGGAATGAACAAAATTAACGATAAAAAAAAAATTGAATTCTACAGATAAAGTTTCTATTTTTTTTTCCAAACATTTTTCATTAATTGTCTTTTCAAAAATAATAATTCTTTATTTGGACGTTTTCTAATTTGATGATTTCTTTTGTTGAAAAAACTAGTCGAGGAATAATAAATAAAAAAAAAAAAATTAAAAATATTAATATATTTTTTAGTTTTAAATTTTTTCTTTTTAATTTTTTTTTGTAATTTACACACACACACACATTTTGTGACACAAAACATTTAACAAAAACATTTTAAAAAAATATATATATTTGGGTGTGTGTTTAATCTGTTCACAATTAATGGACTCTTCAATTTTTTTTTGCTTTTTCTGAATAATCTTCAAGAAATTTTAATAAATTTTTTAAAAAAATTCTCAAAACATAATCTTTATTGATCTCATCTCACAATCCTCACAATTCATCCATATGTTTTTTTTTTATTCACTATTTATTTTTTTAAAATATGCCACTTAAGATTATCGCAAAAAAATTTTTTAACTGAATCAATAAAAGTTGTTTGATCCTTTACAAAAAACCGATTTTAGAAAAATTAAATATATATTATATATATATATATATATATATATATATATATATAAATTGAGAGAGAGAGAGAGAGAGAGATTTTTTGTAATAAAAATGAATAAAATAATTTTATCAGGATTTTAGTCAATATACAAATTTGTTTTGGGACTTAGTATTTTTCTATCAACATTTTGCAAACGCCTGTTGGGAGAATGATGTCATTTACAATAATATGTAAAACCCGCTTGAAAAGTTAGTTAATCTGAAAAAAAATTTAATATTTTAAAATGCCCGTCTTCGAAACACTTCCAAAAATTTTAAAATTTTTATAACGACCCGGTAAAAATAGATACGAAAGATCCAAAAGACAAAATAAAATAACCATTTGAAATTTAGAACTCCCGCCTCAAACAATTTCAAAAAAAAAAAAAATCAAAAAAGAAAAAAAAAGAAATGATGGGTCGAAGCAAAAATTGATAAGAAGAATTTTAATAACAATTTTTTTATCTTTTTTTAAGTCAATCTTATTCAAAAACTGTGGTTTCGTATGAACAAGATAAATGAGAGCCAAAAAATGTATGTGAAGTGGGAGGAGAAACGGTGTTTGATTTAATTTTTATTGTATTTTATCATTCATTTTAAGTTCCGTTCTTAAAAGAGAAGTAGGTTGGTGTTCAAAAAAAAAAAAAAAAGCACAAAAGAAGAAAAAAAAAGAACGAGATAAAATGACAATGGTAAAAAATAATCAAGCAGAATGAACGCAAAGAGAATTGTAAAAAGAAAAGGTAAAAGAAAAAAGAAAGAAAGAAAGAAATAATATGAGGGAAGAAAAGGAAAGAGACAAAGAAACGTGAAGCAACATAAATGTAAGAAGAATAAAAAAGAAAAAAAAAACAAAAAGAAATTTAAAACAAAATGAAAGAAGGTCTTAAAGGTTTTTATAGCGAGAAGCAAGAAAGAAAGAAAGAAAGAAAGAAAGAAAGAAAGAAAAGACTAAAAATTTGGAGAAAAGAGAGAGAAAGAAAGGATTAAACGTTTGAGGATAAATGAAAGAAAAAGAAAGAAGAAATTAAAAGAGAAAGGAAGAGACAAAGAGAAACTAAAATATAAAATAAAATTTAAAAAAATAAAACAAAAAATAGAAAAAAAAAAAAAAAAAAGAAAATTTAACCTAAAGAGATAAAGAGAAGACAAGAGAAATAAAAGAAAAGGAGAGGATGAAAGGAAAAGAAAGGACTAAAAGTTTTGAGAAAAGGCCAAAAAAAAAAAAAAAAATTGAAAAAAAGAAAAAGAAAGCCAAAAAGGAAGTGAAAAGATATGAAAGAAAGAAAAGAAAAAAAAGAAGAAAAAAGAAAGAAAAAATTTTTTTCAAATGAAGAAAGGTAAAGAGACGTAAAAATTAAGGAAGAATGTAAAAAAGAAAGAAACAAATTGAAATAGTTAAAGAGAAGGTAAGAAACAAGTAACCAAGCAAGAAAGAAAGAAATAAAGAAAGAAAGAAATAAAAGAAAAAAAAAAAAAAGAAAAAAAAAAGAAAGAAAAGAAATTTTTTTTGAAAAAATTTCGAATTAATTTTAAGAAATAAAAATAAATGAAAAAGGAAATAAAAAAAGAAAAAAAGAAATTTATTCATGAAAAAGAAATAAAGAAAAAGAAAGAAATAAAAGAAAGAAGGAAATAAATTTAAATAAATAAAGAAAAAAATTCCAAGAAATAAAAAATAAAATTTTTAAGAAGAAAAGAAAGAAAGAAAAAATTAGAAAGAAAGAAAGAAATTTGAAAGACGGAAGGAAAGAAAGAAATAAAGAAAGAAGGAAATAAATAAATAAATAAAGAAAGAAAGAAAGAAAAATAAAGGAAAGAAAGAAAAAAAAAAGAAGGAAAATAAAGAAAAAAAAAATCTTTTGAACTGAAAAAAAAAAAAATAAAGAAAGAAAGAAAAGAAAAAAAGAAAAAAGAAAAAAAGAAAGAAAATTTCCAAAAAGGAGGAAAAAAAAAACGAAAGAAAAATTTATGAAAAAATAAATAAAGAAATAAAAAAAAGAAATAAAATGAAATTTTTTAAAAAAAAGAAAAAAAAAAGAAAAAAAGAAAGAAAAAAAAAAAGAAAAAAAGAAGGAAAAGGAAAAAAAATTTAAAAGAAAAGAAGGAAAAAAATAAATAAATAAAAAAAAGAAAGAAAAAAAAAAAAAAAAAAAATAAAAAAAAAAAAAAAAGAAAGAAAAAAAAAGAAAGAAAGAAATAAAAAAAATGAAATAAAAGGTGAAAAAAATGAAAGAAGATTGAGGATAAGTTAAAAGAAAAAGAAAGAATAAAAATGAAAGCAAAAGAAAGAAAAAAGAGAAATCAAAAGGCATAAAAGAAAGAAAAGAAAGGAATAAAAGCAAGAGAGAGAAAATCAAAAGAATGAAACCAACAGAAAGAGATAAAGGCAAGACATAAAACAATAGAGAAAGAAAGAAAGAATGAAAGAAAACAGAAAGAAAGAAAGAAATGGTTAAAAGTTTTGGGAAAAGACAAAGAAAGAAGAAAGAAAGCGAAAAAAAAAAAAAAGAAAAAAGGGAAGCCTAGAGATATAAAAGAAAGGAAAGAAAAAAGGTACGAGAAAAAGAAAGATAGAAAAAGGATAAAAACAAAAAGATAAGAAAAAGTAAAGTGAAAGAGAAGGAAAATGAGGAGAGAAATAAAGAAAGACTGAACTGAGAAAGAAAAACAAAGAAAAAAGAGAAAAGAAACGGAGAAAGAAAAGAGAATAATGCAAGAAGAAAGAAGAAAAACCAAACAAAGGAAAAGAAAAAAAATAGATGTAAAAATGGAAAAGAAAAAGAAAAACAAAGAGAGAAAAGAAAATAAAGAAGAAAGAAGAAAAACAAGGAAGCAAACATGAGAAGAGAGAAGAAGAAGGAAAAAACGGAAAAGATGCGGAAAGAATTAAGAAAGGAAAATAAATATGGAAGAAAGAAAAACAAGAAAGAAAGAAAAATAGAAAAAAGAAAGAAGCTAGCGCTTAAGAAAGAGCAAAAATGGAAAGATAAGAAAAAAGAAAAAGTAAGTAGGTATGCAAAAGAAAGAAAGAAAGAAGCAAAAATTAAAACGACAGAGAAAAGAAAAGGAAAGAGAGAAGACAGAAAAGTGAACAAAAAGAAGGGGAAAAAGAAGAAATCCGATAAAGAATAAAAATCCGAAACAAATAAATAAACAAACAAAACAAATAAATAAGAATAAGACAAAATAGGGAGGAGGCGAAGAAAGAAGAAAAGAAAAGAGAGATTCGTAGGGAGGGTAATCGGTTTGGAAAAAAAAAAGTTCATGTGTGGCCTGGCAATATTGAGACTATGTTTCAAACTCGAAATTCGTGTCGGTTTAATCAGTTATTTTCGGCTGGTTGTTGTTGAAATGAGGGTTGTGGAGTACTTTGGACACTTATTTTCGCTCCGAATGACAATTGGCACGAAAAAAGACACGTCTTTATTTTTTTTCCTATTGACTTTTTCATTCATTTAATTCTGCTCGGCGTTCTTTTTGGTAGGATAAGGAAACATGGGCAAATATAGGTCTTCGTGCTCGCAAAAAAAAAAAAAACAAAAAAAAAACAAACAAACAAAAAAACAAAAACAAAACAACAACAACAACAAAAAGCAGTATATCAAAAGGACGGTTTTCCCCTTGACACCGGTATTATTTTAGCTACCTCCACTCCTCGGTAATATTTAATGTTTTAAAAAGCGATAATTAGAATTGTAATAAACATGGCACGTGGAACTAGAACAGTCTACCCCAGTGAGCTAAATAAAGGATGCAGTTCGACATTCCAACCACCTGAAGAAGGCCGGGGCGTACAACGGCCGAAACGTTGTGATAAACAGGGCGACAAAGATGAGGACAGTAGTCCGAATAATGTAAACTAATGTATTTCATTTAAAAAAAACCAAACAATAGCATTGTAATTTTATATATATATATATATATATATATATATATATATATATATATATATATATATATATATATATATATCGAGGAATAAATCAGACTTACGAATCTGTCGTTTCTCTTTTTATTACAAAACATATTATTTTATTTTAACAGACTTCATCGTCATTACCAACAAATTGTAAATCCTTCCGTTACAATAACCTCGTCCATTACAATCTGCAACACCTATGCGCTACGGACCCTTCAATACGTAGGCGGTCGTGGTTGTCTACAGATATACTTTATTTATTATATCCTTTATTATACATGCCTTTCATTTAAGGTACTACTTCTTAGGTCGTTCGGAAAACAATGTCCGATTTTAAAGTCAGTTTTTATTCCTGAATTAATGTATTTAAACAATGTTAAAACTCAAAGCATGAACCCTGGACGTCTATACATTTCTGTTACAAAGTTATTTATGTCTTTACGATAAAACTCTAAAGGTTTGGACGCCAAGAAAACTTTGAAAGCAGTTTCTGCATCTTCTTTGCAACGAAATTTCTTTCATCTTAAATATTGTCAAGATGCTTGAAAAAGTGGCCGTCAGTGGTCGAAAGATCATGGAGAAGAGGATGAATGTGATAAAGTCTTGTATCCCAAGTTGGTGAGATTCTGTAGTGTCATCCTGACAGTATGTAGCCGAGCATTGTCAAGAAGTAGAATTGAACCTCGTAGATTAACCAGTGGCGGCCGCATTTTGCTTTACAGAATGTGCATTTCATCCAGCAGCTGGCAGTAAACTTCGATGGTGATAACTTGCTTAGATTCGTGAAAGCTCTAATGGCGTGCCATTAGACAGTCATCATAATCTCTTCTGTTGGAGTAATTTCGCTTTTGGAACGAGTATCGGCCCTTCGTTATGATCAAGACATTGAGCCGATCGTTTGCAATTGTCATCAAGAATTCATTTCTCAGCACAATTCACTGTTCGATCAAGAAATGGATCATTCGAATTTCGCAGATGCAGGATCGAACACACTTAAACACTTTGACTTTCATTGAATTCGTGCTGAATCAATTGATCGAGTTACTTCCCCTTGCCATTTTTCTAGAGATGGTCCGATATTGCTGAACTGCTGACACCCTTTATCTGAGACATTTCTCTAATACTTTGACGTGGGTTCTTTTCAACTAGTGTTTTCAGATGTTGATTGTCAATTGAAGACGGACATCCTCTACCACCTTGATCTTCAAGACTCGTATCCCCACTGCGGAACTTCACGAAACAGCGCGTTACTGTCCGATCATAAGTGGATCCTTCACTCCATGCTCTGTTAATGTTGGCAGTAGTTTGTGAAGGATTATGACCGAGTAAATATATCTCTTCTTGTTTCATGCGCAAGATGAGGAGTATATAATGCTATCGGTTAAATTCTAAAAGAGATTGATATAAAATTAACAGAGCACACTTTAATCATTAGGAAAGAGTACTGTATTGTGGTGCAACTATTTTAATATATTCACGATCACGAATCCCGTAACTACTCAGAGTCGTACAGTACACCACATATAGTGCAGAGAGTCTGACAGAGTCCCAAAGAGTGTGAGTTCAATATCCGGTTAAGGCAGCGGAGAACTTTTAGAGGGGAAATTAACAGGGGATAACTGATAACTGAAATCCATTAAACATGCCACGTGGAACTAGAACAGTCTACCCCAGTGAGCGAAATAAAGGGTTCAGTCGACATTCCAACTACCAGAAGAAGGCCGGAGCGTACAACGGCCGAAACGTTGATATAAATATGGCGACAAAGATGAGGACAATAGTCCGAATAATGTAAATAGTGTACATAATACCTCATCTCAGAAATATAGACAGATACTGAAAGGCCGAAACGTTGTAATAAATATGGCGACAAAGATGAAAACAATAGTCCTAATAATGTAAATAGTGTACATAATACCTCATCTTAGAAATATAGACAGATACTGAAGGGCCGAAACGTTGTAATAAATATGGCGACGAAGATGAGGACAATAATCCGAATAATGTAAATAATGTACATAATACATCATCTCAGAAATATAGACAGATACTGAAAGGCCGAAACGTTGTAATAAATATGGCGACAAAGATGAAAACAATAGTCCTAATAATGTAAATAGTGTACATAATACCTCATCTTAGAAATATAGACAGATACTGAAAGGCCGAAACGTTGTAATAATATGGCGACAAAGATGAGGACAATAGTCCGAATAATGTAAATAGTGTACATAATACCTCATCTCAGAAATATAGACAGATACTGAAGGGCCGAAACGTTGTAATAAATATGGTGACAAAGATGAGGACAATAGTCAGAATAATGTAAATATTGTACATAATACCTCATCTTAGAAATATAGACAGATACTGAAGGGCCGAAACGTTGTAATAAATATGGCGACAAAGATGAGGACAATAGTCCGAATAATGTAAATAGTGTACATAATACCTCATCTCAGAAATATAGACAGATACTGAAGGGCCGAAACGTTGTAATAAATATGGTGACAAAGATGAGGACAATAGTCCGAATAATGTAAATAGTTTACATAATACCTCATCTCAGAAATATAGACAGATACTGAAGGGCTGAAACGTTGTAATAAATATGGTGACAAAGATGAGGACAATAGTCCGAATAATGTAAATAGTGTACATAATACCTCATCTCAGAAATATAGACAGATACTGAAGGGCCGAAACGTTGTAATAAATATGGTGACAAAGATGAGGACAATAGTCCGAATAATGTAAATAGTTTACATAATACCTCATCTCAGAAATATAGACAGATACAGAGTCCATCCATCTACAGGATGGTTTGAATTCAGAGTTTTCCTTCTCATAGGCCGGTTGTCACCCATGATTATAGAACCCAATCTGCCCTGTTATTTGCCCATAATTTGGGGTGTGGTAGGAAAGAGATGGATTCATACCATTCCCAAGGTTATTAGCACGTAAATTAATTCGAACTCTGCTCTCCGATTCTTTAATTCAAGCCGCAATCCATTACGCCACCGCGCCTCCCATCATATAGTAGATCACAAATGAATGTTTATTTTAAAATAGGACATTATTTTTCGAACAGCCTAATATATTTCACACACACACACACACACACACACACACACACACACACACACACACACATGGGCTCAATTATAAGCTAATGCCTTCAAAGAAGTGTGGAACAATAAATAGATTTCAAATTCTTCAGTTTCATAAGCGATAATATATTTTATATTCCAAACGTATTCTTTTGCACCATTTTTTTTTTAATGGGAGAAGTATTTTAAGATGAAAAACGAAATCAAAATTCAATAATTTTTAAAGCGATTAAAATATGTAGTTATTTTCTTTTTTTTTCTTTCTTTTTACAAAAAGGCTACGGGCTTATAAGTTAGAAAGTGAAACTTATAGGATGAGATAACCCCATTTTTTCCCCCGTTTTATTTATTCATTTGTTTTCTGCGTTGTTAAGAAACATTGAAAATAGCCATATTTCCACCCCCAACAAAGGTAAACGATGAACGTGAAAAAAAGAAAAAAGAAGAAAACAAAAGAAAAGAAAGAAAAAAAGAACAAAATGATATGAAAAATGCTCATAGTATAAACTCCACGACTTTTTATCCGTATGCAGACGGTTTTCTCCCAGTATAAATTCTGGATTATTCTAATATGCTTCCTAAATAAATCAAGCTTACCTAGCAGTTCAAACAGTTCCTTGTGTTGTATTTTTATCAAACGATTCAGGTCTTCTAAAAATTTCCAGAAAATCACGAGGCCAGTCGGAAACAGACAAAAATCTGGACAAAACCTTGAATAAAGCATTTGAAAATGTTATTTGATGATATACCGTAATTCCCTATGTATATTACGCATTTTTTTCTAAAAATGAATAAGCAAAAATTAAAAAGTATTATGCACAGCTACAAAAAATATTAGGTTGGTGCAAAAATAATGACGTAATGATGTCGTTTTTTGACGTTAAAAATACATCCAAAAACGACATTATTACGTCATTATTTGTGCACCAACCTAATATTTTAAAAATTCCGTTTCATAGGTCGATTTTACTTGCGAAATGACTACTCACCACAAACCTACGACAATTTGACACTAAGATTCGGCGATTGCGACCCCATAAGGATGTCAAATACAATCAAATGTACCTAACAATACTTACAAATGTAAATTAAAATAAGAATTATCATAAAACTAAATTAGAATATTATTCTATATTTAAAACCATTTTTTTAAATACGAATAGGAAACGCTTGCTGTAATGAAATTGGAGAGTTATAATTTATAGGATTTAATTACCAAAGAAAGGGTGCGTATTAT